GGCTCCTACCCAACCCAAAACCCCCACGGCCCATCCCCCTCCTCTCCTCCCAGCCGACCTCGGACTACTTCCCCACCCCAACCCACGGCCTACTTTTGTCCTAAACAAATTCTCAATCTTAACACCTCCGTCACCATCTCTCCGTTACCTCCAACCTACCGTAGTGCACTAAAAGATCCAAACTGGCATGCTGCTATGTGTGATGAATATAACGCCTTGATAAAGAATGACACATGGGAACTAGTACCCCCTCCCCCTCACAAAATCTCATCACCGGTAAATGGCTCTTTAGACATAAATTTGGCCCAACCGGTGAGTTATCCAGGTACAAAGCCCGCTGGGTGGTTCGTGGTTTCAACCAACGTTTTGGCATTTATTATGACGAGACTTTCAGCCCCGTTGTCAAGCCTGCCACTCTTCGTGTTATCCTCAGTCTTGCTCTGTCTCGAGGTTGGCCCATTCATCAGCTTGATGTCAAGAATGCGTTCCTTCACGGCCAGCTACAGGAGACCGTCTATGCCTGTCAGCCTTCTGGGTTTCAGGATCCCACACGCCCTCCCTATGTGTGCAAGCTCAAGAAGGCTCTATATGGTCTCAAGCAAGCACCCCGATCATGGTTTCACAGGTTTGCTGGCTTCATACAGACTATTGGGTTTAGAGGATGTAAGGCCGACACTTCTCTCTTTGTCTTCTCTCAGCCCATGGGCACGGCCTATCTTCTTCTTTATGTGGATGATATAGTTCTCACAGCTTCCTCTCCAGCACTTCTACAGAGTCTCATTCAGCAGCTCAAGGCTGAGTTCTCCATGACTGATATGGGCGATCTGCACTTTTTCCTTGGGATCAATGTTCACCGCACAGCTTCTGGCCTCTTCCTCCACCAGACTCAGTTCGCGCACGACATCCTTGAGAGGGCAGGGATTGTTTCTTGTCGGCCAATCTCAACCCCGGTGGATACAAAGGCGAAGCTCTCTGCGTCAGCTGGTACGGCGCTCTCTGACCCCTCACTTTACCGATCCATTGTTGGCGCGCTGCAGTACCTCACATTCACTCGTCCTGATATCACATATGCAGTCCAGCAGCTCTGCCTACACCTCCATGCCCCCACGACGCTCACTTTACAGCCATGAAGCGTGTTCTCCGGTATCTCAGTGGCACCGCTACTCATGGCATTCATTTGACACGATCCGCCACCGACTACCTATAGGCTTATTCAGACGCTGATTGGGCTAGATGTCCTAATACCAGACGTTCCACTTCGGGCTACTGCGTTTTCCTCGGCGACAATCTTGTCTCATGGTCGTCTAAGCGCCAGGCCACTACTTCTCGACCTAGTGCCGAGGCCAAATACCGGGCTGTAGCGAATGCTGTTGCAGAAACCAGCTGGATCCGAAACCTCCTCCTTGAGCTCCAGCAGCCACTCCGTCGCGCCACACTTGTCTTTTGTGATAATGTCAGTGCGGTCTACCTTTCGTCAAACTCGGTACAGCATCAGCGCACCAAACACGTCGAGGTTGACATACACTTTGTGCGTGATAAGGTGGCGCTACCTTTTGGAACTTGGTATCCATTTTGTATGCCTGCTGGAGACCAAGATCACGAGAGCTAAGTTGGAAAATTTTGTGACTACCAAACTGCCTGGGTGGAGATCTGCCACCAATTTTGAAGTCTTGCCTGGCAGTCGCATGGTGATCCTGTGGAACCCTTCCTTTTTTGCTTGTAATATTTTGGGAGCGGGTGAGTAATATCTTCACTGTGAAGTCCATTGCCTCACAACACAAAAGGAGTTTTTCCTATCTTTTATCTATGGCCTGTACATAGTTACCAAAAGAAGGGAGCTGTGGAATGATTTATCCTCCCTAGCACAGAATATTTC